TATATATATATATATATATATAAATGTGTGTGTGTGTATATATATATGTATATATACATATATATATACATATATATAGGCAAAAAGGTGATAAGGTAGCTACTGAAAAGTATGTTTATGGAGAAGAACTTGCAGATATATTTAGAAATTGAAGAGATTTAAGATTTTTCTTCCTGTAACAATTTACTCTATATTTTTAATATTACCTTCAACTTCCATAAAAAAGTGTGAGAATTGTTCTATACTACTATAAGTAAAATAATGTGTCCAGAAATCTATATGAAAAAATACTGTGAATATGATCCTCTTAGAAGGGTCAAACATAGTCAAATACATTTTGAAAATAAATAATGTAGTGTAGGCTGTCTTGTACAGAGTAAAAATTCATATGTTTAAGACAAATATTTACTCTGTTTTGAGATGAAAAATCATTTTACCTATCTGAATTGGCCTACATAAATATGTTGCTTGTAACTGAGCATTTTAGAACTTCTGTAAAATACTGTTTTAGTTCTAAAGTAAATTATTTCAGCTTGTGGAATATTTCAGGTAGGAAAATGGTAGTCTTCCAATATAAATCTCAGATGTCGTAGTTCATAACTCTGAACTCATTTGTAATTTTTTTCTTCTTCTTTATTACATGAACACACATTTAACTAGCATAAATGAAGATTTTATAGATATACACTGATTATTTTCTCAATATGTCCTATAAAATATACAGCTATTTCCAGGGAATTGCCATGCAAGGTATTTCGAAAGCATTGAGAAAACAGTGATTATTATAACTGAAGACTAGACAACTGTAAACGAGACATGAGTTTCCCTCAGGAGAATGGCAAATTTTCTGGCTATCCATTAGCTGCGATATGTATAGCAGCTAATTAACTGAGTCCATTGTACTCTATGTATATATGGACTCTCTCTATATATGTAGTATATATACAGTATAACAGATTCAGTTAATTTCATCTTTCAAATCTGTACCATAGTCACAGTCTTTGACTTTATATATGTCATATCCTTAAGAAAAATCAATTTCTGAATATTATTTTAGTAAGAACTTGCTAGAAAATAAGCCTTACACAAATGGTCAAAGTATGCTTGCCACTGTTTCATTCATACTAAGAAAAGAGCAATAATATTTTTAAACTTTATCATTTTTGTAGGTTATCTCTCTTAATCCTCATTTTACCAATGAGGAGACTTAGAATCAGAAAAATTAGATGAATTACCTAATCACATGCTTAAAACATACATGATATGAGACTTAAGTCTAAAACTCTTGGTTCCAAGGCCTGTAGTTTTTATCCTATATAAACTACATCTATGTTTAAAACTTAGTCCATTCTTGAGACAAAATATTCTCCTTTTGGAATAACATGTGCGAGGGAAAAAGAAATAATGAATGCCTTCAAACTGTGTTCTTAATTCATTTTCATAATAGTTTGATATCAACACATGGAATGTAGTCATCCTCTTTTGAAGAAAAAGAAACAAACACCAGCTGGAAAGAGCTAATAATTTAGAAATGAGTTGTGGGACATGTTAGAAGAGATGATAGAGTATGTACTGTGGCCTTTTAAACACAGCTTGAAAAATTAAGTAAAAGTCAAAATATGTCCATTAAGAATGTTTACTTACGGTAGTTGATATTAAGTAATTTACCATAGAGCTTGAATTTAAAAAAAAAAAAAGTCAAATTTGGAATAATTCTAATGCCTTGCTTATGTATGAGGACCCATAGTTGAAGTGTATGAAAGAAACATAAGTAGATTTCTAGGGATCTCCTACTATGATTATATATCTTAAGATTTCAAATTAAAACTCAAAAAATATTGTTTTTTGAATAAAAAAGGAGGCCAGTGTGGTGGCTCATGCCTGTGGTCCTAGCACTTCGGGAGGCAGAGGCAGGTGGATCACAAGGTCAGGAGTTTGAGACTAGCCTGGCCAATGTGGTGAAAGCCTGTCTCTACTGAAAATACAAAAATTGGCTGGGCATGGTGGCACATGCCTGTAGTGCCAGCTTCTTGGGAGGCTGAGGCAAGAAATCACTGGAACCTGGGAGGGAGAGGTTGCAGTGAGCCAAGATTCCACCACTGCACTCCAGCCTGGGTAACAGCACAAGACTCCAACTCAAAAAAAAAAAAACAAAAAAAACGAAGGAAACAAATATGCTTTCATTAACATAAGATAGAGAGCAAATTGGCAAAATATTTGTATTGGTGAATTCTGGTTTATTGGTGAATAGATTAATATTTACATTGACCTCAACATCCATTTCAGTGTTTTTTAAATTGTTATTTAATGATGAAGTAATCTGATACTACTTTCTTGACTCAGAGTTGGAATGAAATATGATACATATAAAAATGACAGGCCGGGCGCAGTGGCTCACGCCTGTAATCCCAGCACTTTGGGAGGATGAGGAGGGTGGATCACGAGGTCAAGAGATCGAGACCATCCCGGTCAACATGGTGAAACCCCGTCTCTACTAAAAAAAATACAAAAAATTAGCTGGGCAAGGTGGCGCGTGCCTGTAATCCCACATACTCAGGAGGCTGAGGCAGGAGAATTGCCTGAACCCGGGAGGTGGAGGTTGCGGTGAGCCGAGATCGCGCCATTGCCCTCCAGCCTGGGTAACAAGAGCGAAACTCCGACCCAAAAAAAAAAAAAAAAATTACAAGAATTCAAATAGATAGATAGATAGATAGATGATTGATTGATAGATAGATAGATAGATAGATAGATAGATAGATAGATAATGATATTTGTGTTGTTGAGATAAGGTTGCCCAGGCTGGTCTTGAACTTCTGAACTCAAGCAACTGCCTCCACCACCAGAGTAACTGGGATGAGAGGTGTGAGCCAGTAGGCCCTGCTTCCATAAATTTCTGAGGATGTTACTCTCTATTTAATTATGTTGTTTTCGATGTATCTTTGGCTATATTAAAGAGGTAGCTTTCCAAGCTTTAGGAAGCCAGGCCTGAGAGGCTCTGCTTTTTTTTTATAATCCCATATTAAATAAAAATAAAGAAACTAAGTCTCAGAAAATTTGAGTAAGTCATCCCAAAACTTGACTTGAACCTTGGACAAAACATATTAAACTTATGTAAGATTCTCCCTGAGATTTTGAGGCCAGCTAATCCCATCATATTTTATCACTGGCATCTTTGTTTACTGCCCAAAATGTATATCTCTTTAGCCATTCTTCAGCTCCTCGTTTTCTTTATATTTTTTCCTTTGACAAATACCTACCCTACCTTTATACAACACTAATTGTTCTCCACTCTGACCGTCTAATTCCATGGTAATCACATTTCATTAATATTTTCAACTCTTTTATAGAAGAATCTGGCTTTGATTAAATTCTAGCTTTCTCTAGAGGACCTTGCTCTTCCTGCAGTCCTTTCAACTGGAGATTTATTTTTCCACATCCTAGACCCTGTAACAACAGTTAACATTGCTTAGCTCCTTAAAAACAATGCCAAGTCACTACTTCTCCAATATGGAGTGAAATCATCTCTTCTGAATCCCTTGCCATTTAGCTGTCCTACCCTCTGATCCTTCTCATCACTGTCGCTGACTATCTCCTGGCTAAATTCATCATAATTCAGATAACTAAATTCATTTTATAAATTGAAACCTGGTTCAAAATCTTTCCCTCTGTCCCAAGTCCTACTATCATCCTGGGTTGACTTATCTACTTTAGTAACAACTCCATCTCATTTTTCTTAATCCCAATGTCTATACCTCCACTAAACCCAGGGCCAATGACAGGTCCCTGACATCTCCTATACTCTAAATGAGAAATTTTGAAATCTAATATCTAACTCTCTACACAGTCTTTACAGAACTTTCAAGACTCATTCTATTCCATCTATTCTTCAGCCACATTGAAACGTCCAGTCCCTAATCAGCAAGTCGATGGAGATTCCATTTTACAGAAATGGTGATAACTGACAGAGTAACAAGAGGTAAATTAACAATTCCCCATTTGAATACGTTATGTTTCTGAAGGCTATTGAAATCAAAGTCTGGAAATTAGGTTGACAATTAAATGTGTAGAAAATGGAGCTTAAGAGAAAGATGTCTGAATTGCAGACATATATTTGAGAGTCATCAAGTTATCTTTGGAAATTAAAAATCTGAGACACATTTAAAAAACATGGCCTAAATGGAAAGAAGAGGGTCTAGGACAGATCCCAGGACCAGAATGAAGATAAGCAGGGTGGGGTGACAGCCCAGTCAGGAGCAACACAGACCCAGGGGATTCCCAAGCCCAGCCAAGGGAAGCGGTGAGTGATTGTATGATCCCAGGAAGGCATATTTCTACTACACAGCTTTATAAACCATGAATCAGAAGGTCCCCTCATGGGCCCATGCCACCAGGGCCTTCACTCGGACACACTAAGCTGGGCAAAGTCTCAGAACAGCTGCTCAGACACATGCAGAGATTTAGGAGCTTTATGTACTCCAGCCCCAGGAACACTGGCAAGGGTGTCTGCAGCTCAAGCAAGGCAGAAGTCCTTCCTAGGAGGTCCCCTAGGATAGGGGCTGAATTTAGGGAGCTGAGCAGTGCCAGTCTGCAGGCCCCACTTCCAAGGCACCTCACAGGATGAGACCCACTGGCTTGGAATCCATACTAGCCACCAGCAACAGGGTAGAGCCTGCCTGAAAGGAGATGAGCCCTCTGGGGGAGAGCTCGGCCACCATATCTGCTATTTGATCCAATCAGCTATTCCAGCTTGTGGGCTTTGGTGAGTCCAAATGGTTTAGAAAAGGAAAGATCCCCACAGTGCAGCACAGCTGCTTTGCTAGAACGTGACTGGAGTGCTTCTGTAAGCAGGACCCTGATTGATTCCTTCTCACTGGGTGGGACCTCCCAGCTAGGGTCTCCAGCCATGCTGGCCTGCATAATATTCCACGGATACAGCTCTGATTTCTCTCTGGGCCAGAGTGCTTACAGGGAAGGGAAGATTGCCACCTTGGTTGTTTGGATAAATCAGCCATTCCAGCCTGCGGGCTTTGGAGAGTCCAAGCCAATCGGTACAGAGGTGGTTCCCCAGCATGGCAGGGCTGTTTTTCAAGACACATCCAGACGGCTTCTTAAAGGAGGACCCTGATCCATTCCTCCTCATGGGAGGGTCCTTGCAGCCAGAGACTCTGGCCACCCTGTCCATGTTCTACAGCCCACAAAATTCTAATTTTTTCTCTGGGAAGGAGTGTCTGGAGAACAATGGCAGTGGCCACCACTTTGGCTGTTCAAATATCTCAGTGGTCTAGACTGTTGGCCTTGGAGAGCCCAAATGATTTGGGACTGAAGGGATCCCTATGGTCTCCAGCCATCTCCTATAGCTGGGTTCAGGCTGGCAACAGGTCAATACCCCTTGTAATGGAGCTTCCAGAGGAAGGAACAGGCTGTCATATTTGCTGTTTCAAAGCCTTTAATATTGATACATCCAGGTATGGGGGATAAACAAGGTAACTAGGGTCTAGAGTGGACCACCAGCAATCCTAAAACAACAGAAAAACAAACAACAACAACAACAAAAAAAAAACACAAAAAGCCCATGTAAAAGTCAGCAACATCAAAGATCATAGGTAGATAAGCCCACAAAGATGAGAAACAACGATTGCAAAAACATTGAAAACTCAAAAAGCCAGAGTGCCCCTTTTCCTATAAATGACTGAACCACCTCTCCATCAAGGTCTCAGAACTGGACTGAGGCTGACATGGCTCAAATGACAGAATTAGGCTTCAAAATGCAGATGAAAACAAACTTTGCTGAGATAAAGGAGCATGTTGTAACCCAATGCAAATAACCTAAGCATCATGGTAAAACATTTCAGGGGCTGACAGGCAAAATGTCATAATATAGATGAACATAACCAACCTGATGGAGCTGAAAAACATACTACAAGAATTTCTCAATGCAATCACAAGTATTAATAGCAGAATAGACCAAGCGGAGGAAAGACTCTCTGATCTTGAAGACTATCTTTTTGAAATAAGACAGGCAGGCAAGAATAGAGAAAAATGAATGAACAAATCCTCCAGGAAATATGGGATTATTTAAAGACACAGAATCTATGACTGATTGGGGTACCTGAAAGAGATACAGAAAATGGAAACAATTTAACAAACATACTACAGGAGATTATCAGGAGAACCTACCCAACCTAGCAAGAAAGGCCAACATTCAAATTCAGGAAATGTAGAAAATCCCAGTAAGATACTCCGTGAGGAGATCATCCCAAAATACATAATCATCATATTCTCCCAGGTCAAAATGAAAGAAAAAATGTTAAGGGCAGCCGGAGAGAAAAGGCAGGTGACCTACAAAGAGAAGCCCATCAGACTAACAGTAGACCTCTCAGCAGAAACCCTACAAACCAAAGAGATAGGTGGCTTAATGCAACAATTTAAAGAAAAGAATTTCCAATCTAGAATTTCATATCTGGATGAACTAACCTTCATAAATGAAGGAGAGAAGATCCCTTTCATAAGAGAAAGAGATTGTTTTCAGAAAAGCAAATGTTGGGGGAATTTATTACCACCAGATTTGCGTTACAAGAGCTCCTGAAGGAGGCACTAAATATGGGAAGCAAAAACCATTACCATACACATGCACACAAAGACACCAAAGTGCAGACCAGTAACATTTTGTAGCAACCACATAAACATGTCTGCAAAATAACCAATTATAATAGCATTGTGATGTCAGGATCAAATACACACATAAAAATACCAACCTTAAATATAAATGGAATAAATGCCCCATTTAAAAGACAAAGAATGGCAACCTGGATACAGAACTAAGACCCAATGATAGGCTGTCTTCAAGATACTCATCTCATATACAGACACACATAGGCTTTGGAGAAAAGTACCCAGCAAAGGGAAAACAGAAAAAAGCAGGGAAACAGAAAAAACAATCCTAGTTTCTGATCAAAATATATTTAAACCAACAAAGATCAAAAACAGAAAAGAAGAGGATTACATAAAAGTAAAGGGTTCAATTCAACAAGAAGAGCAAACTATCTTAACATACATGCACCTACTACAGAAGCACCCAAATTCATAAAGCAAGTTCTTAGAGACTTTCAAAGAAACGTAGTGTAACACTTTCATACTCCACTGAAAATATTAGATCATTGAGACAGTAAATTTACAGATATTGAACACCTGAACTCAGCTCTGGATCAAGTGGACCTGATAGATATGTACAGAACTCTCTACCAAAAAACAACAGAATATAATTCTTCTCAGTATCACATGTCACTTACTCCAATATCAATCATATAATTGGAAGTAAAACACATCTCAGCAAATACAAGAGAACTGAAATCATAACAAACAGTCCCTCAGGTCACAGTGCAATAAAATTAGAACTCAAGATTAAGAAATTCCCTCAAAACCATACAACTACATGGAAATTGAAC